TGTATGCACACTTCTTCAGATATCGTGAAACAAAACTTCTTCAAGCATTACATGCAGAAGAAGAAGAGATTGTATTTATACCCTGCCCTTCACTACCTGGAGTCTCAGAGTGGCTTACAAACTCCTCTCCCTCCCCCTCCCCACAACAGACACCCTGTGAGGTAGGCGGGGCTGAGAGAGCTCTCCTGAGGACTGCTCCTGAGAGAACTTATGAGTGACCCAAGGTCACACCAGCAGCTGGGTGTGGAGGAGTGGGGAAGTCTTGTTTTCACTGTATCTGCTGGAGTGTGCGTGCACACAAAAGCTTCGACCCAGAATTAAACTCTGCTGGTCTTAAAGGTGCCTGACTGGACTCAAGACTTTTTGTACTATTTATTGGACTATTAACGTTCTGCCAAAGGACGGGACAAAGAGCTCACGCTGAGGCCTGCCCGGCAGCCACTAGACACAGGGCATCGTTCCTGATGTGATTTCTCGAATCTGATCCAGCTGGGTGAGTCTGACGGGTTGTTGTATATATTATATATTCCTGTGTAATACCTTGATACAGTATCAGCGGCTCCTAAGTCATAACGCTTAAAAGGAAAGCCCGTGCACAGAGGCAGTCTACCCAAGTACAAGATGATGGAGAAAACAACAGGGTTAGAATATTTCTGCTCCACTTGTAGGTTTCTCAAATGCATCTGACTGCTGCAGTTGGACGCAAGATGCTTCATTACATGGGCCGGATCCAGCAGTTCTGTTCCACTAGTGTTGGGGCTTTCCCCGATGCAAGAAGCCAACCCCCAAAGCAAGAGGCTCTACTAGGGGAAAGCACTGCTGCGGTCATTATGAATAGAACCTCCAAGTACAGGAGCAGTTTATCTCTGAATGCCAACTGCTGGGGCAAACAACAGGAAAGAGCATCGCCTATCGATCCTGCTCGCTGGCCTTCAAGAAGCACCTCTTTTAATTTTTATTTATTTATTCAATTTATACCCTGCCCTCCCCGCTGAGGAGGTTGACAGTTGAAGAGATGGGATATTGGACTGACCCCGCAGGGGCTCCTCTTATATTTTAAGTGGTCTGGCAGCCGCTATTGGGTTGATGATGGAGCCTCCATGTTCTGAGACAGTGTACCTCTGAAAGCTTTTTGCTGAAGACATAGGAGGGGGCGAGAGGTGGAGGCGGCCTTGGTCTGCTCTGGAGCTTCCCGGAGGCATGTGGCTGGAAACTGGATGCTGGGCTAGAAGGACCCTTAGTCTGATCCTGCAAGGTTCTTCCTATTTTCTGGCTTCAGTCTTGACAAACATTGCCTTGGTCGTGGGAGTCTGCCCTGAGTGTGAAGTGTGCCGGCCAGGTGAGAGCTGAGAGCAGCTCAAAGCATTTTAACACTTGTTTGCATCCTGTGCAACCCCCCCTCCCACCATTCTCCCCCCCCACGCGTTGCTTCCACGCTTCCCATGCGGTTTGTGTTACCACCTTGAGCAGAATAGGCCAAGGGGGGGGGGGACAGAAAAACCCCAACTTTGGGCTCCGTCCAAGTCGCGTCACACATCACCGTCGGGCCTGAAATAATAACGACTTATCTAACGAGGGGAACGTCAGACAGTTTGATTTGCCCATTAGACTCATGCCGAGCTTCTAACCGAAAGCAGACGGGCCGACACGGTGTCACAGGCTTGCCCAGAACTTCTGATCGCTCGGAAGCACTTTCTTTTCCTGAAGTGAAACAAGATGCAATCGCAACCAAAAAAAAAGGCTCAACTTCTGGAGTGCCTTAAGAGGAGTCGCTCCCTGCATCTCTGTAAAGAATTACTGTTCCGAGCTTCCCTGTTCATAAGGGGGCCTTGCCCTGAACAGCACTTCATCCAGAGAGAAAACAGGCATCCAGTCACGCCCTTTTTTCCATCTCTGCTGGGATTGGAACGAGGCTTAAAGGTAGTTGTTCATTCGAGCTCAAGACAAACTCACCTGGTTAAGCTACCCCAGGGCAATGGAACCAGGTGAGCCTCCACATAAACAAACCCCAGCATCCTGTCTTTCATGCCCCACGTGAAACTGAGCAGGGAGGGTGAAATCATTGGTGCCGAGGAAGAGATGCCAGCGTGACATGTGTACTGCATCTCTTTGAGGAGAGAAGAAGAAGAGATTGGAGTCTCAGAGTGGCTTACGATCTCCTTCCCCTCCCCCTCCCCACAACAGACACCCTGTGAGGTAGGTGGGGCTGAGAGAGCTTTCGAGGACTGCTCAGGAGAGAACAGCTCCCAGAGAACTTGTGACTGGCCCAAGTTCACCCAGCCGGGTGCAAGTGGAGGAGTGGGGAATCAAACCCAGTTCTCCAGATTAGAGTCCGCCGCTCTTAACCACAACACCAAATTGGCTGCAGAGAAGTTGCATGCAGTCTAAAAGTTACAGAGTACACTTGCTTTCCTCGCCCCCGATCAGCATAAGGGACACTTTCCAAAATGAATTCAAAAATCTGGACCCCAGAACCACAGCTGGGACATCTAACACAACTGCAGGGGCCAAGAAGAGACGGGTGGTGGTGGAGCATTTCCTGTTCCCTTGTTTGTGCCTTTTGGCCACCCAGAAAGTCAAGGCACCGAGACTGCCTCAAGCCGCCTTCTTTTCACTCCCACTCTCTCCTCTCTGGTCACCACCATATCTCCTGGTAGCAAATTGCACAGGGTTTAAGATGGATTTCCTTTTGCTTCTCTAAAATTTTCTATGCCCTGTTGTTGGGCCTCCAGGGGAACTGGTTGGGCACTGGGTGAGACGGGATGCTGGACTAGGTGGACCCTCACTGGTCTGGTCCAGCAGGGCTCTTCTGAGGTTCTTCTCAGGGGAAGGCCTCGGACTCTATGCCCTCTTGTTGGCACTCCAGAGTAACTGGTTGGCCACTGAGTGAGACAGGATGCTGGACGAGATGGACCCTCACTAGTCTGACCCAGCAGGGCTCTTCTGAGGTTCTTCTCAGGGGAAGGCCTTGGCCTCTCTGCCCTGTTGTTGGGCCCTCCAGAGGAACTGGCTGGCCCCTGTGTGAGACGGGATGCTGGACTAGATGGACCCTCACTGGTCTGACCCAGCAGGGCTCTTCTGAGATTCTTCTCAGGGGAAGGCCTTGGCCTCTCTGCCCTCTTGTTGGCACTCCAGAGGAACCGGTTGGCCCCTGTGTGAAACGGGATGATGGACTAGATGGACCCTCACTGGTGTGGTCCAGCAGGGCTCTTCTGAAGCTCTTATGCTCATCGCAACCACAAAGGTTAATAAAAAACACAGGGTGGGAAAAATTGAGAGAAAGACATTTTTTCTTCCTCTCTCATAATACCAGAACCCAGGATCATCCAACTGAATTGATCAAGTGACGATTCAGGGCAGAGCACGCACGCGCGCACACACACAAAAAGATGAACTTCCTGTATTGAATTCATTGCCACAAGGTACAGCCATGGCCGGAATCTTAGTTTTTTAAAGGGCTTAAACAAAATTCTTATGTCTATCAGTGGCTCTAAGCTTTGGTAACACAAGTGGAACCTCCATGTTCAGAAGCAGTACACCTCTGGCTACCAGCTGCTGGAGCAGAAAAACCAGGAGACCGG